GTTCTTTAATATTTTGAATTGTTTTTAGCTTTATTTTTTGTTTTTCTTTTAAATGTTAAGTTTTGAAATTTTGTTGTATGCATTTTTCATTTTTATTTAATCTCTTTATTTTAAAAATGTGTATAAGTAGTATTTATAAAGTTTTAGCTTTTAGTTTTGGATCTGTTTTTAGTTGTTTTAATACTACAATTGATTGCTTCTGTTGTCCTCATTTGTAAGTCGCTTTAGCTAAAAGCCTCTAATAAATTACTAAATAAATAAATAAAATAAATAATCATTAAATCACCACCACAGCGTCTTGTCTCCACTGGCAACACGCACGATTTGTGTCGATTGCAAGTGACGTCGCAGGTATCGGAGAGTGCAAGTAAAGATTGCAAGTGACTTCGTAATTTAGTTTCTTTTTTCTTGTCTTCACCACCTGGCTACTGTTGTAAAATGTTGAGACATTCAAACAAAAAGTAATCAATAAATAGAACAAAATAAAAAATAATAAAGACTGCAAGTGACGTCGCTAGCGGAAGTGCAAGTGTCTGAGAGTGCAAGCGCCAGCTGCAGCCAGACCCTTTTGGAAAAATCGCAATTAGATTTTCCCCCAAATCGTGCAGCCCTCCAAGAAACTGAACTCAAAACAACAAGTTTCAGAATTCAATTCAATATTTAGTTTGACCTCTATGCAAGTTTACCATTGTCCTCCTTTCATTGTCCTGTCCGAACTAAATCTCCTGCAGATCAGTGAAGGGGGCTGGAGCAGAGACACGGGGCATCGATGGCTGCTGGCAGACATGAGAATATCTGACCCTGGGTTTTGCTCTAATACTGAACCACCTGTCATCTGTCTCATTAACATTCTGAACACACATACAGCTCTAGGTACAGGAGCACTGCTCCATTAAATCAAGGCCAAATCACAGTAAATAAACCACTCCATTACAGAGCAGTCTATTGCTATTGATTCCCATATACCTATCACTTTTCAAAGCTTTCCAGTGACATTGTCTTTGTACTGTGTAATAATTTAGTGACACTGAATTATATGGTCGCACCTGCCATAGTTCAAATCAAAGTCGCTCTTCATTTGCATAAAGTTGAAGGATTCTGAACTTTGTCGCGTCGCTGGACACGCCCCATCCGGTCGCCAACGGCCGCTGTCGCTCGTGTCGCCGGAAATCGCCAGCTCTACATTGAAATGAATGGGATTGTGTCGCTTTGCTGATGCGTGTCGCTTGTAGTGTGAACGGGGCTTTAAGCCTAAAAACCCCGTTCACACCGCCAGATGCTGGCAGACATGAGAATATCTGACCCTGGGTTTTGCTCTAATACTGAACCACCTGTCATCTGTCTCATTAACATTCTGAACACACATACAGCTCTAGGTACAGGAGCACTGCTCCATTAAATCAAGGCCAAATCACAGTAAATAAACCACTCCATTACAGAGCAGTCTATTGCTATTGATTCCCATATACCTATCACTTTTCAAAGCTTTCCAGTGACATTGTCTTTGTACTGTGTAATAATTTAGTGACACTGAATTATATGGTCGCACCTGCCATAGTTCAAATCAAACGAGTTTAGAATGCCAGGGGAAGCCTAGATGTTTCTGCTCTGACAAAACACAAACGTGTGAGAGAGAAGCGTGAAGCTCGGCGGTTTTATTTTCGGCACACTCCCTCAGACTCCCGCTTCCTCTGATTGGTGCCAAGAATGCAGCCCAGCACAGGCAGGTTTATTTGGGCCACTTTCATTTATTTCTGCTCAGCAAAAACCCTCTGTTCCAACTCCCGCCTCTTCATCTCTCTTTCAGTTCTTCTCCAGCTGATCTCTTCCTCGGTCAAACCCTTTGTCTCTCCCATTCTTATCAGAACCCATTAAAAAGATTCTGCAATTGCTCGCACTGTTTTACAAACTGCTTTATTGCGTATTCACTTTATTACATGAAAATGTAAAGGAATAGTTCAAACAAAAATGAAGATTCTGTCATCATCATCGACTCATGTCGCTCCAAACCAGTATAACTTTATCCTTCTGTGGAATACAAATAAGAATTTTACTGGTTGCACTTTTTTCATGCAATTAGCTGGCACAAGGATTAGATTTTTAAGCTTAAATAAATTACTATAATAAATCATAAAAGTGGTCTATAAGAATGCATGTGTTTTATTCCAAGTCAGTGTATGTATTACAGAAGACTTTTAAAGAACAGGTCATTTGGGTTTTCGAAAAATATATTTTTTGCCGTTTGTAACGTAGCTATACTTCAATGTAAACAGCCTGCAAAGTAGTTAATCAAAAAAGTGCATGATAAATAATGATATTGTCTCTCAAAAGAAAGTGTCGACTCTGAACCGCCTTAACGAGTTGTCATATTTTCGAATCTTCTGCCTGTTATCTATATCCGTCTCAAGGTAACACATTTGCATAATCCCCGCCTGCCCGCGAAATACGAACACTCTGACCTGCCCACAAACACTTCCGCTAGTTAGTGTGTTTACATCAT